CTGAGGCGGAAGGATCGCCGGAGCCCAGGAGGTCGAGGCCGTGGTGGCCGGGAGCAGCCACTGCACTCCAGTCTGGGTGACAGAGTGAGACTCCAACTCAAAAAAAAAAAGGAAAAGAAAAAAAAAAGAAATGAAGTCTCGCCAAGTTGCCTAGGCTGGTCTCAAACCCGTGGGCTCAGGCAATCCTCTCACCTCAGCCTTCCAAAGTACTGGAATTATAGGCATGAGCCCCTGCACCCAGTTGAAGGTAGAATCTAACTAGCTGTGTTTATCTCTCAGAATGATTTCTTAATAATTCATCATGGAATTAGATAACTATATCACTATAAAAGGTAGACTGTAGAAGTATGATGCAGAGAAATAGAATGTAGAGAATATTCACCTAACTTAAACTATTATTAATATAAAATGACCGCTAACACTTTGATTACAGAATTTCTCTGATGTTAGAGTATTTCAGTTATCTACTGCTGCTCAACAGACTGCTCCCAAACTAAACAACTTCAAACAACAGTGGGTTATAGGTTGGCTGGGCTCCGTTGGGTGGTTCTTTGTCTCTACGTGGTGAAGCTGAGGTCATACATGCGGCTTCATTCAGCTGGGAGCTTGGCAGGGGCTGTGACATTGAAGATAACCTCTCATCTTCCAGGATCTCTCTCCACTTAGCACCCATTATTCAGTTATCTAAGCTGAACCTCTTTGACATCATGAAGGCTGGTTTTCAGCAAGAAGCTTTTTAAAAGGGCAAGTGCTTATCAAGCCTCTGTTTGCATCATGCTTTCTTTTCTTTTTTTTTTTTTTTTTTTTGAAGTTGGAGTCTCACTCTATCGCTCAGACTGGAGTGCAGTGGCATGCTCCCAGCCACCGTAGGGCTCCGGTGATCATTCCACCTCAGCCTTCCAAGTAGCTGGAACAATAGGCGCACGCTCCCACACCCGGCTAATTTTTGATTTATTGTAGAGATGAGGTCTCGCCAAGTTGCCCAGGTGGGTCTCGAACCTGCGGGCTCAAGCAATCTACTCACCTTGGCCTTCCAAAGTGCTAGGATTACAGGCTGAGCCACCAAGCCCGTACTCCTCTCAGAGTTCTTAAGGAAAAAATCCTCACTTCTGTTTTGATTTGAGAGGTCTTTTGCCTCCATGTGCTCTCTATAAACTGCTGGGAGTATTTTTGGTGGTTAGAGTCGGTGGCAATTTTTATTTATTTATTTTGTTTTGAATTGGAGTCTCACTCTGTCGCCCAGACTGGAGTGCAGTGGCCGTTCCCAGCCACCACAGCCTCGACCTGCTGGGCTCCGGCGATCCTTCCGCCTCAGCCTTCTGAGTAGCCGGAATTACAGGCATGTGCTACCACGCCCGGCTGACTTTGTTTTTTTTTTTTTGATTTATTGTAGAGATGAGGTCTTGCTGCCCAGGCGGGTCTCGAACCCGCGGGCTCAGGCAATTCACTCACCTCAGCCTCCCAAAGGCATGGGATTATAGGCTGAGCCACCGAGCCCAGCTCGGTGGCAATTTTATTGCTATTTTGCTCTCTTTATGTACCTTCCTAAAGATATGGTCATGTAGTAATGGACACACTAGATCTCTTTCCCTTTCTTCCTAAGGATTTGTTATTTTCTTCCAGTTGTGATCCTGATAACTAAGCTACCCTTTATTCATTCAGTAATGATTGAGTACCTACTATATTGCCCTGTCTGTTGATCGGGTAACAGAGTAAATCAGCCTTTATTTTCATGGAGCTTATATTAGATTGTGGGAAGTTAGACAAATAAAAAGGTAAACAACAAGAACAAAATAATTTCAGCTAGTGATAACTGCTGGGGAAAAAATAAAACAGGACAATGTAATAGGGAGTGCATGGGTGGAAGTGGGCAGCTACTTTAGTAGAGGTGGCAGGGAAGACACTTGAGCTGAGGCCTGAATGATAAGAAGCCATCCCAGTTTACTTAGGACTGAGGGATTTCTCAGGACATGGGACTTCCATTGCTAAAACCAGGACAGTCCTAGGAGAACTGGAATAGATGGATAGTCCAAGAAGAGGAAACAGCAAATACCAAAGCCTAGAATTGGAGGAAGCATGATATTCTGGAGGTGTGACAGAAGCCCAGTGTGGCTGAAAACATAGTAAGCAAGGGTTAAGTTGAGGCACATGAGGCCGAGGAGCTCAGCAGACATTGGTCCTTATGGGACCTTATCCATGGTGCAGGTTTTATCTTAAGTATGTTGGAAAGCCACTGCAGGGTTTTAAACAGGTGGGACATGGTTTCATTTACATTTTTAAATGGTCACTGGCTACGAGAAGAGTAAACCTTTGGGGTACAGATGGAAGTGAGGAGAGAGTTAGGGAGGCTTGTTTAGTCATCCTTCTTAAGATGATGGTAGCTTGGACCAGGGTGCGTGCCAGAATGGAAGCCCTTGTCACGACAAACCCTGGGCTGCTTCTCATTCCTCCCTGCTCTTTCCCTTTTCCCCAAATCAGCAGCTCTGTACCCATGAAGAGCTTCTTTGCTGAAGTAGGGATTCCCAGCAGATTTATTGTCTGTGCACCAAACCTCAGTCCTACTTGTGTCTCACAGATGCTTTATCAGCTTTTCTCTTTTCAGTATTTTTTAAGTACTTAAATACAATAATATGGTTTTTAATTTTTTTTAGTTATCTATTGGTTTTCTCATACAGTCAGATTGAGAAATGCTTTTGACTGCCAAGTTTAAAGTGATTGATTTTTATCTTGGATGCCTTTGAAGGGGGTTATATTTAGAATTGTGCAGCATAAATAGAGCTATGCCTGCTAAAGGTTAATCTGGCAGGAGGGTGGGATAAACAATGCATAAGATGCGGACATGTAAAATTTTAGGTGATAGGAGACTGTTCAAGTAGAAATGTGGGTGGGAGGGTAAGGGGTGGTTAAAGAGTGAGACTAGGTCTTAGTAGCAAGGATGAGTTTGTAGATGGAAATGTGGGAGTCACCACAGAGAGATTGGCATTGAGTTTGGGGGAGGGCATTGATTTGTTTATTCAACAAGGCATTAAGTATTTATTGAATGTCTCCCGAGAGCTGAGGATGTTATAGTGAACAAGGCAGACAGGATCTCTGCTCTCAGGAAGGTGTAGCATCAGTCGGGGCGGGGCAAGGTGAAGGGCAAAAAATAAATGAATTAATAAGTAAAATAATTCGAGAGAGTGGTGAGTGCTGTGCAGATAACAAAACAGCATGATGTCCTCTGGCTTGGGGGATTTGGGAGAGATTCTTTTTTTGGATTGGTAATCAGGGAAGGCCTCTTTGAGGAGGTGGCATTCTGCATGATATCTGAATGATAAGAAAAGACTCTTCCAGGAGAAGGTCTTGGACACCAGGGGGAAGCTCCCACTTAATCAAATGGAGATGTGGACCAGCAAAGATGAGAGAGGAGGGAGAGCAGGGACTATGCTGGCCTCACTCACTAGCACAGTGAGTACCTTACACAGATATTTAAGTGTTCATGTTAAAAAGAAACAAACCAGGTTTGTGTTCTAACCACAAGACTGAGAAAGGAACTTCCCAAGAAGCCTGGCAGCCATGACTTTACTGGCTAGGAAGTCAAAGAGAACTTGATGGTTTTGGTTTGGGTTATCAGGAATGTCTGCTCATTAGAAGGTGCTGAGTTCAGAGACCAGCACTTCAGAGGCTGAAGAAGCAGAGAGTGAGGAAATTAAAACAATGTTTTTGGACTCTAACAATTATTTTTCTTTGACATTTGTGAATATGTCATAAAAGACTCCTTCACTATGTACACCACCTTTGGGAGTCTTTCCTGGCTGTATTTTCAAATTTGCTGACTTTCTCATGCCTCTTCCTTCTGTTACCAACCTTTCTCTTTGGACTCCTTTGCTTTCTTTTTGCTTCTGAAGACTTGCCACTTTGCATTCCTTTTCCTCTTATCTTCATGCCCCACAGCCTCAGGCCAGTCCTGCCTGTCTTCACCAAGACCAGTTTCTGAGTCTCCAGCCAGATCCAGGAACCTGAGTCTATAAGGGGGCAGCAGTAGGATATTTGACACATCTGACAGTGAATGGAAGTTGGTTGAATGGGCTACCATAGTTTTAAGGTCTCAGAGACCTGTGGATATTGGAAAACAAGACAAAGTTAATAGCAAGGGATACACTGATGATGAAGAGACAGAGAAGAGCACAGATTTGAGGCAGAAGTAGAAGGGTTAATCTTAAACATGAATCTTCTTCCTCTGAATCAGAGGAAAGGACGAATAAGTGTGCCTGGGTTCAGAAACTCTTGGGTTGGAAGAGAGAGGAGTGGGAGAAACAGAAAAGCGGACTGCATCTTTTTAGCAATAAAGCAAGCCAGGTGGTCTGATGTAAGTCAAACTCAGAATTGGCCAAGGAATTTTGGAGTCACCACTCCAGAGATTTTTCTGGGGAATAATCAAGTGATGAATGAAAGAATTGCCAGACACCAGCAAAGATCCAGTTGAAGTTGACGTGTATTTTTAGCAGTCTGTCTTTGTCTAAGATAGCTCTGCCAGAACCCCGGCAGCTGGTGCTAATGTTAACTACTTTTAATATACAGTTTGGATTTTAGCCACTAATTATATTTCAAGGAGACATTATCCTCATAGTTGTCCTTAATAGTAAATCAAAGACTGATTGATTTGTTTTCCTTTCATTTTACTTGTACCTGTCAGAGGCATGTAATTAGTGAGCATTGCCTGTGGAATTCAGTGTAAGGAATTTTAATCGACAACTTTTCATAGAATCTATTAAACTAGGCTTATTACACTTAGAATCTGGGCTATTATGAAAAATGAAAGCTCTCAAACTTAGCATAGCCTCTTTTGTTCACAGTAGTTGCTATAGAATACTCGAGTTTTGAGGTATACATCTACTCAGGTGCAGTGTTTGAAATATTTTTGAGCAACTAGTCACAATAATGTCATTCTCAAGTAGAAATTTACCAACTAAATGGAAACAGATATCATTTTAGGACCTCTTTTTTTTTTTTTTAATTAGGTTGAAAATGGTGTATTTGTAGCCAACCCACTTCAGGAACGCACAATTCTAATGAGAAAAGAGGGCGAGTCTGCAAAAAGCATTAACGAGATGCTTCTGAGTAGACTTTCTCGGTACAGAGCCTCCCCGTCAGCAACGCTTGCTGCCCTGACTGGCTCCACCATCTCCAACACACTGAAAGAAGATCAGGCAGGTATGTTGCTAAGAACTTCCCAGATTTGTTTCCTTGTATATAGGGCTCCTTCTGTTTAGTTATTTTTTATTGAACGCTTAATCTGTGCAGTACATAGGGATTTCCTTTGCCATAGTTCCTCTTATTTGCTCTTCCAGTCATTGTCCAGTTTTTTATTCCAAGTGAATACAAGTTGAGGGCTATGAACATGAATTCTCATGAACCTGTAATAATTCAGAAGAGCTCTACCTTTAACTGAAAACACCCTGTTATCATTACTGTTAGTATAAATGAATTGATTTCATGTTTAGCATATGATTTAACATCATCTTCACTAAATACAATCTTGGCCAAGCAAGTAAAAGATAAACCTTCTATAGGAGAGATTTTGTTTTTTTTGATTTTATCATTTTGTTTTTGTAATTTAATGTTTTAAAATAGATAATACATTTACAGAGTTTGAAAATCAAAATAATGTAAAAATACATATATATGCAGAGGAGTCTTATTTCTACCATGTTGGTGTATTCTGTAGTCTACTCCTACCCTTTCCCCCCCAGGTAGTTATATTTATTAGTTTTTATTTATTGTCCTAGGGTTTCTTTATGCAAATACGGTTAAAATCAACTTTATGTGTTCTTATTTTCTACCTTTGAAAAGTAGCATACTATATATTCTATTCTGCTCTTTTACAGCAGGTGTTCTTACCCTGGTAAACCTTTATGAGGTTAATAAACATACTCCTCCAAAGCTTTAAATGATATTTTATATATATTTGTTAAAATTTTCATCAGATTTTCAAAGTCATTTATGCCCCCCAAAAAGTTAAGAATCATTATTCTGGAAGTTTTTACAGATTATATACCAAATACCTGGGTTTATAATAAACTATGAACTGTTGTAAAAGATGAAGTTAGAAAAAGATGCCATATATAAAAAAGTATCAGAGTTAATATGCATTCAATGAATGTAATGTAATTTTATGCTTTCTTTTATAGTTTGAAATGCTAGTAAGAGAAAATATTTGTGGTTAATTCACTAAGAGACTGCCAAAGTAAATAGTTACTAGTCCATACTAGAATTTAAAGATAGTATTTTATTTTCACAGATCTCTATTATATTAAATATAAGTGAGGAAACTGTTAATAGTTATTTTAAATTGGGTAAGTGGATAATTTGAGTTGGAGAGAATACTTTGTAGAAGGCAGGTTCTTTTTTTTTTTTTTTTTAACCTTAATAAACATTTTTATGACAAGCTGAAGGCTTGCTCTGGGTTTGTCCCTTGGGAGAAAATTGAAACCTACCCTAAACAGTGGAAATAATAAAGGAATGTTTATTGGAGAAGAAAATATGTACAATATCAAAAACAGACCTCAGAAGGCAAGGGCATATTTATTAATAGAATTCTGTGGAAACTGGTGTCTGTGTTCTTAACATGTGGTCTCATTGTATTTTTAAATATATTCTCTTTTTTTAAATTGAAAAATATAGTTTATTTAGAAAGTAAATTCGAGAGAGATAAGTGATTTACCTCTCCAACGTAGGGGAGGGAGGCCAAAGTTAGGAAACATGGCGACCATAGCTCAAAGAGCCACATGGCCAGATCATAGCTTAGCAAAGCAATGGACATATTTTCATATATATTCTCTGTGTATTTATTTGACATGATGTTACTACATTTAAAATTCACCAGTTTCTAAGTAAACTTTTGAAAATTAAGTGAACATTTAGGGATCCTAGAAGTTTTTATTCCATGATAAACTAACATCTATTACCATGTTAATAAGAGTATGTATATTAAAAAACAGCTTGGTGAAAATGTTGTGTTCATAGAGTTTATAGTTTTCCAATCATTGCCCTTTTGGGGGTTTCTTACCAATAGAAATTTATGCTCCTGAATTTATGTCCTGAATGAAGAATATTTTTGCTGGGTGCTGCAGTTTAAAAAATAAATGAAGCTTTCTAGAAATACAAGCATTAAAACAAATATCAGATAGATTAGGTTTCATTTTACTCATTTTTCTAATGTAAAGCATCTAAAAACAATTTTTTGATCTATCTAGGCTATGAATAATTGGTTATATTTTATAGCCTGTCAGTTTTCTAAGTAAAGCACTGTAATTGATTTTCTGTTGACATCATCAATTTTCACTAGGCTAGTCTATAGAAAATCCTTAAATTCACTTCACATTTCAGATATGCTAGTAAGATTAAAATACATTTTATACTTCTTGATTAGAAACAGTAATTATTTTCTTAATGGTAGTGTATGTCATTAGCCCTAAAGGAAAAAATATATATAATGAGTTATAATAAATCATGCAGGTATAAAATTATTTTGTGATAGATATTGTGAAATCTTTTATTAGGTTGAAATTTTTGGTTGATTTCATGTTCAAGGCTGTTTGCAATTAATGTAATAATACAAACCTGTCAAGAATTTGTTCTTTATAAAATGAAGAAAAAAAATATTGATTGGAGTACAGGTTGAACATCCCAAATCTAAAAATCCAAAATTCGAAACACTTCAAAATCCAAAACTTTTTGAGCATTAAAATTGATGTAACACTTAAGGGCAATACTTCTGAAGCATTTGGACTTCAGATTTTCAAATGAGGAATGCTCAGTAAGTATAATGCAGTAAGTATATGCCAGTAAGTATAATGCAAATATTTCAAAATCTGAAATCCAAAATACTCCTTTTGGTTCCAAGCATTTCAGATAAGGGTACTCAACTTGTATCAGTTTTCTACGGGAAACACAAACAGTAGGATTCTTGTCTTATTTTAAGATTTAGTCCATGTGAGGATTATTTCTTCTGAAAGAATGTTTAGAGATATGAAGGCATATTAAAGATTGTAAACACCTTCAAGAAATGTTCAGACCATCTTACATGAGGCTTAGGACCAGGCTCTGGAGCTAGAAGATAGTTTGATAATTCTTTTTTCCTTTACTTTTACTACTTGTTCTGTATTTCTAATCTGGGTATATCTTTGTTTTAGTATGAGGCTCTCTCATTGTACCTAGCCTGTTGTGGTAATCAAATTAACTTCTATGTAAAATATTTTTACTTAGCATTTTCATTCCTTTCTCCAGCAAATACTAGCTGTGGGCTACCTCTGAAAATGCTACGGAAGACACCCATATATACCTGTGGCACGTACTTGGTGATGCTGGTGCCACCTCCAGGGGGGTCAGGCAGCTCTGCTACCCGCTCTCTTTTTGGTGGAACAAGCGGTTTGTCATCCTTAAAAAGTAAGTGAGTTTTACTTGAGGCACTGTCTCCAATTTATATCTCAAATTCTGAAATTTAAGGCTTTTCTATTAATTATTTTACTTTATTTTTTTCTAGTCAGAGTCTTACTCTGTTGCCCAGGCTGGAGTGCAGTGGCACACTCCCAGCCACTGCAGCCTTGACCTGCTGACCTCAGGCAATCCTTCTGCCTCAACCTTCCAAGTAGCTGGAACTACAGGCGTACGCCACCACACCCAGCTAATTCTTCTGGATTTATTGTAGAGATAAGGTCTCACCAAGTTGCTCAAGCTGGGCTTGAATCACTGGGCTCAGGCTGTCCTCTGACCTCGACCTCCCAAAGTGCTGGGATTATAGACATGAGCCACCATGCCCAGCCTTCTATTAATTATTTTATTTTATTTTATTGTTTTTGAGTTACAGTCTCACTCTGTCACCCACACTGGAGTGCAGTGGCCGCTCCCGGCCACCGCAGCCTTGACCCTACTGGGCTCTGGCCATCCTTCTGCCTCAGCCTTCCAAGTAGCTGGAACTACAGGCGTGCACTACTATGCCCAGCTGATATTTGATTTATTGTAGAGATGAGGTCTCGCCAAGTTGCCCAGGCAGGTCTTGAACCCATGGGCTCAGGCAATCCACTCACCTCAGCCTCCCAAAGCACGGGATTACAGGCTGAGCCACCAAGCCCGCTCCATTAATTATTTTAAACTTACTTTGTTAAATAGTAGTTTGTAATAGCTCTTTGATGACAAAAAAATAATTGCCAATAGAGTTATAGGCTAGGAGAATTAAAAAATACAGTTTTTTTGTAGATGACATAATAGTATACTTTTGAAAACTATCCTCCTGTAAAATTACTAGAAATAATAATCAGTTCAGCAAAGTTTTAGGAAATAAAATAATCTTCTACTACATTATTTACTGATGACATAGCTAGAGCTCTACTCACTGTTGTAGAATTCCAAAGTTATTAAAATAAGTATGTAAAACACCTCCATTTCAGGATACATATACAAAACGTTAAGCAAACAATGTAGGAGAGAAAATACTATTTGTAAAAAATGTATTGTTTTAAATGTACGTATGTTTTTATAAGGGGGACACACTAGAAATTAAAGTGGTGATTAATGTGGTTTTGGCTTCAGAATATGCACATAGTTAAATAGAATAAATATAAGATAAGAAAATATTCCTCTTATCATTTTCTAGCTCTCTATCTTAGGAACATCGTTTAACCCCTCTGAGCCTCAGCTTTCCAATTGTAAAAGGCAAAAGACTTATACAATCTAAAGAGGAACCAGAGTATACAGTTTTCCCAGTTGTAAAAAATAAAAGGATAAGCCGGGCTCGGTGGCTCAGCCTGTAATCCTGTGCCTTTAGGAGGCTGAGGTGAGTGGATTGCCTGAGCCTGCGGGTTCGAGACCCGCCTGGGCAGCGAGACCTCATCTCTACAATAAATAAAAAAA